GGTGTAGCGGCCAATACTTCCAGCTACTTGTTAAAGCTGAAACTGTACATTGACTGTAATGCCAACAGTGCCGGGCAAAACGAAAACCAGCAACCGTTTACCATCTTTAATAGGAGCAATAACTCGCAGTATGGAAATGTGATAACAGCAACCCTCAGCAGCCAGACCATTATTTCTTACGACCCCAATTCTAATCCCTGTATTACCAACCCGCCAACAGACATTTGCTACAAACTCAGGTATTTTGAGGTAACAGTAGAATTACCCGATAGCCCCGAAGGTTATACCGTTTCTTTTCAACGTTGCTGCCGGATAGCCAATATCGAAAATCTTTCCGGTAACAGCAGTAACTATGGCGCTACCTATACCTGCGATATTCCAGGCACCAATACCCTGCCCCCGGCCGAACACAATTCCAGCCCGGTGATTGCTGGTAATGATGCAGTAGCCATCTGTGCAGGCACTCCTTTTTCCTATGATTTTTCTGCTACCGACCCCGATGGCGATTCTCTGGTGTACAGTTTATGCAGCACCTATAATGGCGGCGGCCAGTCAAGCGGCAACAACTGCCTCACCTGCCCTTCCCCAAACCCCGCTGCTGCCCCCCCTTATGCAATGCTGCCCTATCCAACACCTTACAGCGGCTCAAACCCATTGGGGCTGCAGGCTGCTATCAATCCCGGAACAGGTATCATTTCCGGCATTGCCCCTAATATTGCCGGACAATATGTAGTCACCAGCTGTATTTACGAATACCGGCAGGGCAAACTCATTAATGTACACCGTAAAGACATACACCTTTCTATATCTGATTGCAACCCGCTGAACGCCTTCCTGAAACCAGACTATGATTATTGCGATGACTTTTTTGTGTCGTTTAAAAACGAACAGACAAACCCGGCAGGTTCTGTGTACATCTGGAAATACGGCGATGGCACAAAAGCAGATACTTCACTGGATCCGTTTGGACTGGTGCAGCACCAGTTTGCAGATACCGGCACCTACACTATCAGCCTGAAAGTGATACTGGCGGGGCAATGTCTCGATTCTACCACTACCCTCGCAAAAGTATATCCGGGGTTTTATCCTGGTTTTGTGGTTACAGGCTCCTGCCTATTAACCCCGCTGCAGTTTACAGATACTACCAAAACAAGATACGGTGCTGTAAACTCCTGGAGATGGAATTTCGGAGACGAAAACAGCCAGGCAGATACCTCCCTGCTGCGGGCACCTACCTGGAAATTCAGCAGCACAGGCATCAAAACAGCAGAGCTGATTGTGCAGAGCAATAAGGGCTGCATTGATACGGTGTCAGTACAATTTGAAGTAAAAGACAAACCGCTGATTACGCTTGCCTTCAGAGACACCCTTATCTGCAGCAACCTGCCCATACAGGACACCCTGATGCTGCAGGCCAGCGGACTGGGTAATTTTTCCTGGACCCCGCTTAGCCGGATTATCAACGAAAATACCGCTACCCCCCTGGTATTCCCCACCAATACCACGGTATACCAGGTACAGTTAGACGAAAACGGTTGTGTCAATACAGACACCGTAAGGGTGAGGGTAGTAGATCACGTAACGCTGGATGCGGGCCCTGACAGCACTATCTGCCTTACAGATGCTATTATCCTGCGCCCGTCTACAAATGCCCTTGCTTATTCATGGAGCCCTTCCGCCAGCTTAAATGACCCAAAGGTGAAAAACCCCCTGGTTGTACCCACCGGTACTACAACCTACCAGCTGCTGGGCAGCATCGGCAAATGCAGTGTGGCAGATAATGTAACCATAAGAACGGTGCCCTACCCCAATGCCGATGCAGGCAGGGACTCAGTTATTTGTTTCGGAGATACACTGCGGCTGAATGCCTCCATAGTGGGTTCTACGTTTACATGGACACCAGTAGCCAGCCTTATCAACCCAAATACACTTACTCCCCTGGCACACCCCATTGCCGGCACCAGTTATATACTGGCGGCTTATGACGTACTGGGCTGTCCAAAACCAAAATTTGATACCGTAGTGGTAACCGTAAGGCCCCCCATTATAGCTTCTGCAGGTGCAGATACGGCTGCCAGTGTTGGCCAGCCACTTACCCTTACAGCCACCGGCGCCCCGCTGTTTTTATGGACGCCACCAGATTTCCTGGACAAGGACAATGTACAATCACCTACCGCCGTATTCCCCAACAGTGGCGTGTACAGCTATGCGGTAAAAGTCTATACTGCAGAAAACTGCTTTGCCATAGACACCATTCATATTAAAGTATATAAAACAACCCCGGATATTTTTGTGCCCAATGCCTTTACGCCGGGCGGCACCCAAAACACGGTTTTCAGGCCCATTACCGTGGGTATCTCGCGACTGGATTATTTCCGCGTCTATGACCGCTGGGGCCTGATGGTCTTCAGCAGCACCGACGGCAGCGGATGGAACGGCAGCTACGCGGGCAAAGCCCAGCCTTCTGCCACCTATGTCTGGGTAGTACAGGGACATGACTATACCGGCAAAAAAATCTCCAAAAAAGGCACTATGGTGCTGATACGCTAGTCGCGCTGAAATTCCCAAATAGGTTGATAAACAACCATTTACAATTTTCCGCTTTTTTACATAAAAGCTATTTATCTTTAGAGGGCATCCATTCATCGAAAATTCCGGAACGCACTTTGCATTACCCACAATGATGTAGTACTTTGTTCTCTGGTACTTAATCCGTCATCCTGATAAAACCCTTAATATGAAAGGCTACCTGGTTAAATTCAGTTTTCTGTTGGCATTGGCTGCCGCATCGCTCACCGCTGCAGCGCAGGATGATGTTATCCGCCTGGAGAACTGTATGAACGATTCTTACAAACCTCAGATAGACAGCCTCAAACAGTTATTTTTTGCGCAGGGATATGAAGTAGTCCGTGAAGCTTCCGTTAAAATGGAAAGCGAATACGAATTGCCTATTGTATTGCCGCTTACCCAGGGCGCCTGGTACCAGTTTGTTTTTATTGGTGATCCTTCTTCCAGGTTATACGAAGTGCGTATGTACGACTGGAACGAAAAACAGGTGGTTTATAAGCGCCACCAGTGGGGCGATGTAGACGGCAATGTCATCAGCTACCCGTACGTATCGCAGTTTACAGAATACCACCTGATTAAGCCCGTGCAGGTAAACAAACAGAAAAAGAAAGGACTTTGTGGTTATGTAATGCTGCTGAAGAAAGTTAAATAATATTTGTTTTACCACCCGGTTCCTTTTGTACCGCATTTTATACTACGGCTGCACTTAGTTTTATTAAATTTTTAAGACTCCTGCCTGCATCCTTTCACAGGCGTTTAGCGTTATTATTTTAAATTCATTGTATGATGTTTAAACTGATAACGGCGTGTGTACTTTCAACCCTGCTTTTCACGGGCGGGAGCAAAGAAAATAACAGCCTGCAATGGGACGCCTCCCGCCGGCTGGCCTGGGATGATTTTAAAAGCAGCCCGGACAACAACTCTTCCAATGCCGCACTGACGAGTTCCACCCTCAGTTTTAAATACAATTACGATTCAGAAAAAGGATTCAGCTATACCATTGCCTGCCTGTTTGAGAAAAACAGCTCATGGGGTAAGGTGAAAACAGACTATATACTTTCTCACGAGCAGGGCCATTTTGATATTGCAGAAATTTTTGCCAGAAAACTTAACAGGACAGTAAAAGCTTATTCCTTTAATAAGGCCACGGCAAAGAAAGATGTACCTGCCATGTACCAGCAAATAATGAAGGACTTGGCTGCCCTGCAAAACCAGTACGACAGCGAAACAGATTTCAGCCGCGACAAAGAAGAACAGGCTGCATGGAAGTTTAAAATTAAGAATGAGCTGGACCAGCTGAAAGCGTATGCCAATTACCATTAAGGCAAGCCTTAACAACACAGCAGATAAAAACCCGCTACCCAACCCCTGTATCAGAGAAACTTAGCCGTATAACTGGCCTTGCATTTTTTTAAATCCGCAGGCACGCCTGCAAAAACAATTTGCCCACCGCCCGATCCTGCTTCGGGGCCCAGGTCTATTACCCAGTCGGCGCTTTTAATCACATCCGTATTGTGTTCTATCACCAGGATGGAATGTCCCTGCTCAATCAGCGCATTAAAAGATGCCAGCAGCTTCTTAATATCATGGAAATGTAATCCAGTAGTAGGTTCATCAAAAATAAAAAGAATATGGCCCTGCGCCCTTCCCTTACCCAGGAAGGAAGCCAGTTTCACCCTTTGAGCCTCTCCGCCCGAAAGCGTATCTGAGGATTGCCCCAGCTTAATATAACCCAGTCCCACATCCTGCAGCGCTTTAATTTTGCTCACTACATCCTTTTCTGTGGCAAAAAAAGCGATGGCATCATCTACACTCATCTCCAGCACATCATAGATACTCTTCTCTTTATAGGTTACTTCCAGCACTTCTTCTTTGAAACGTTTGCCGCCGCACACCTCGCAGGTTAAGTGCACATCTGCCAGGAACTGCATTTCTACCACCTGTTCGCCCTCGCCCTTGCAGGTATCGCAACGGCCGCCGTCTACGTTAAAAGAAAAATGTTTGGGTAAAAAACCACGCATTTTACTAAGGGGCTGGCTTGAATACAACTCCCTTATTTCATCATAAGCTTTAATATACGTAACCGGGTTGCTGCGCGACGATTTTCCAATGGGGTTCTGATCTACCATTTCTACCTGGCTCAGGTAATCAATATCGCCGGTAATGGCTTTGAAACTGCCGGCTTTGTCGGCGGTCTCTCCTTTCAATTTTCTCAGCGCCGGGTAAAGAATTTGTTTTACCAGTGTTGTTTTACCGCTGCCGCTTACTCCACTTACAACACAGAGCAGGTTCAGCGGGAATGCTACATCAATGTTTTTCAGGTTGTTCTGCCGGGCGCCCTCAATCTTTACCTGGCTGTTCCACTTGCGCACCTGTTTGGGTGCCGCAATAAACATTTCTCCTTTAAGGTATTTGCCCGTAAGACTTTTTTCATTGGCTATTAATTCATCGTAGTTGCCGGCGGCTACTACTTCGCCGCCCAGGTGACTGGCCAGCGGACCCATATCAATGATATAATCTGCTTCGCGCATCATCATTTCATCGTGTTCTACCACTACTACGGTATTACCCAGGTCGCGCAGCTCCTTTAATACCGCTATCAGCCTTTCCGTATCCCTTGAATGCAGGCCGATGGAAGGTTCATCCAGTATGTACAATGAATTGGTAAGGTTGCTGCCCAGGCTGCGCGTAAGCTGTATGCGCTGGCTCTCTCCGCCGCTGAGTGAATTGGCGAGGCGGTTGAGGGTAAGATAACCCAGGCCCACATCCATCAGTGTTTTTATGCGGTGGTGAATTTCTATCAATATCCTTTTGGCAATCTGGGCGTCGCTTTTGTCCAGCACCAGGGCATCAAACCATTGCTGCAGATCTTTTACCGGCATTTCGCACAGTTCGCCAATATGCCTGCCGCCTACTTTTACATAGAGGGCTTCCTTGCGCAGGCGGTAACCTTCACAATCGGGGCAAAGTGTACGGCCGCGGTACCTGGACAACATTACCCGGTACTGCACCTTGTATAAATTCTGTTCTACTTCTTTAAAGAAATCGTCTATGCCATTTACAAATTCGTTGCCCTTCCACAATGCCTGGTATTCTTTTTTAGTAAGATCAATAACGGGTGTGTGTACGGGGAAATCAAATTTGCGGGAGGCTTTTATAAACGCATCCTTCCATAGACCCATCTTCTCTCCCTTCCAGGGGGCCACGGCGCCTTCGTATACGCTCAGGCGCTTGTCTGGTATTACAAGGTCTTCGTCAATACCCAGCACCAGCGAGAAGCCCTCGCAGGTAGGGCAGGCACCAAAGGGATTATTAAATGAAAACAAATTGGGCACCGGTTCTTCAAAAACAATTCCATCCAGTTCAAACCGGTTAGAAAAATGCAGCAGCTTTTCGCCATTTACTTCCACATATACCTCGCCCTCACCTTCATAGAAGGCAGTGTTTACAGAATCTGCCATGCGGTGTTTATCGTCTTCATCAAAATCTTTTACCACCAGCCTGTCTATGAGCACATACAATTTCTTTTTTGCGGCAGGCTTCCATTTGGGGTCTTCCAGCAAATCTTCTATTCGCTTAACTTCTCCGTCGTACAAACGGGAAAAGCCCTTCTGCAATAATATATTCAGCTCTTCTTTTACTTCGCGGTTGGTATGCTGTTTAAACGGCACCAGCAGCAGGGCCCTGTCTCCCTGGGGCAAATGGCTGATGGCATTAATAACATCTGCAGTATCATCTTTTTTTACTTCGCGGCCAGAAACCGGTGAGATGGTTTTTCCGGCCCGGGCATAGAGCAAACGCAGGTAATCGTAGATCTCCGTCATGCTGCCTACGGTAGAGCGCGGCGTACGCGTAATTACTTTCTGTTCTATGGCGATGGCGGGACAAAGGCCTTTAATATAATCTACATCAGGCTTGTTCATACGCGCCATAAACTGGCGGGCATAGGCGCTTAAACTCTCTGCATAACGGCGTTGTCCTTCTGCGAACAATGTGTCAATGGTAAGTGATGATTTTCCCGAGCCGGATACGCCGGTGACCACAATAAGTTTATTGCGCGGGATAGAGACGGTAACGTTTTTGAGATTATGTACCCTTGCACCTTTAATGAGGATGGAATTACTCAAATTGTGGAAATCTTGCTGCTTTGAAGCTGCTTTTTTTGCTGAAACTACTGCCATAAATGTAAAAAAACTATATAAAAGTATCGAAGTTTTACGATCCCTTCACGTATTAACACCCAATTATGAATTCTGTTGCAATATTTCTTTTTGAAAAGGTTTTTTTTTTGAAAAAAGTACTATTTTCGAAAGACCAATATAAACACTATGATTAAACCTTTAAAAAACACCCGCCTATAGCAAATATATACTTCGCTAGTTAATTTTTCCCAACACACACTGTACATCTTAACCAATATCCAATAATTTTTTAAAACCCGTAGAAGTTTATGAAATCACTCTGCAAAAACACAGATCATGAATTGATCCATTCATTCATGGATGGAGACATGAATGCCCTTGAAACGCTGGTTGTGCGTCACAAGGACAAATTGTATACCTCAATCCTTTTTATGGTGAAGGACAAATATCTTGCTGAAGATATTTTCCAGGATGTACTGATTAAGATTATTGACACCATCCGTGGTGGCCGCTACACTGAAGAAGGTAAATTTTTGCCCTGGGCAATGCGCATTGCACACAACCTGTGTGTAGATCATTTCCGCAAAGTAAAAAGAACCCCTGCCATTAAAACAAGCGATGACCGCGACATTTTTGAAGTACTGAACTTTACGGAAGACAGTGCTGAAACAAAAATGATGAAACGCCAGAGCCACGACAGGGTTCGCCGTATGCTTGACCTGTTACCGGAAGATCAGCGCGAAGTAATCATCCTGCGTCATTATGCAGAGTTAAGTTTTAAAGAAATTGCCGCCCTTACCAACTGCAGCATCAATACTGCCCTGGGAAGAATGCGCTATGGCTTGATTAACCTCAGGAAAATGATGCTGGAAAAACAAATTTCTTTGTAATTATCAGCAGAACTTCTGAAAAAATTAACGCCTTCATTTAAAATCATATTCTATACATGCTTAATTTTACTCATCCGTAATAAAATCATTGTCATTCTGGCCCTCCATCTTACCTTTTGAAAATTATGATCCGCTTGCTGTGAGAAGGCTGGAACAGAATGACGCCTAATTGAAAAATCCCGTCGCGACAATTTGTTGAGACGGGATTTTTTTATGTATGGTGCAGAAAGAATTTTGAGATGGCTGATTAAGGGATTTTGAGATTTCTTTTGCTGTTACACCAGCAGAAATCTCACAATCACTATATCAATATTATCCGGTTAAATTCTTTTGATTGATCACCTCATGCAGGCGGGCATCGTACCGCTCCCGTACGTGCGGGACTTATTTTTCCTCTTAGGCTATAACTCAGCACCAGTATGCATTTCAGCCATCGCCACTATCAGCAGTAGAATAAAGCTAACGGAAAAATAGGCAGCTTACGGCGGTACTGGTATCAACTTGATAAAATGCAGCCCCCATGTTCAATGTCGCTGAAACCATTTACTACGAAGGATTGCTGATTAAGGGATTTTGCGATTTCTTTTGCTGTTACACCAGCAGAAATCTCAAAATCACTACATTTCAAAATCAGCAATTCTGTATTTCCACATTTCTCCCACACTCCCACATTTCCACATTTTACTTGATTTTCCCAAACGCTTCCAGTCCGCATTTTAACCAGTCTGAATACTGTTTTATGTTAGGCGTATAACCCACCGGCAGGGTGAGCACCTTTTCATCGGGAGAAATGATGGCATACAATGGCTGGGATGCGTTTTTAAAATTCTCTGACTGCAGGGTAATGAATTTGTCGCCCACTGTTTTGATGGCTTTTTTAGAACCATCGCTGCTGGTAAATAAAAACTGCTGATCATCGGGCAGTAATTTCCTGTCGTCTACATACAGCGACACCAGGATAAAATCCTTTTCTATCAATGCTTTCACCGTTTCATCAGGCCATACATTTTCCTCCATTTTACGGCAGTTTACACAAGCCCAGCCGGTAAAGTCAATCAGTATGGGTTTATGCTGTTCTTTGGCCATCTGCAGGGCCTTGTTATAGTCGTTTACAATATTGGCTTCCACCCCTTTTCCGCTGGCGGAACCATGGCCATAGATGCTGTAACTTAACGGCGGCGGAAAACCGCTGATCAATGCACGGTTGGCATATTTGGTATTGGTAAGACCCGGCACCAGGTAAAGGGTAAATGCCAGGAATACCAGCGCAATGCCAATACGGACTTTACTGAGCTTTTTGGGCGGTGGATCATAGGAAAATTTCAGGATACCCAACAGATAGAGCACCAGGGCAGTACCTGTAATAATCCACAACCCGAAAAATACTTCCCTTTTTAAAAGGCCCCAGTGTTTTACCAGGTCAGCATTTGAAATGAATTTTAGCGCCAGTGCCAGTTCCACAAAGCCAAATACAATCTTTACCGTATTCATCCAGCCGCCAGATTTAGGCAGCGAAGAAAGCCAGTTGGGAAACAATGCAAACAATGCAAAAGGAAGCCCCAGGGCCAGCCCAAAGCCCGCCATGGCCACTGTTAGCTGAAAGGCACCGCCATTGAGCGCCCCTACCAGCAGCGAACCAAGAATGGGGCCCGTACAGGAGAACGAAACGATGGCCAGGGTCAGCGCCATAAAGAAAATACCACTAACGCTTCCTATGCTTGATTTGGCGTCTACCGAATTAGACAGGTTGCTGGGCAGGCCTATTTCATAAAACCCGAAAAACGACAGGGCAAAGGCTATAAAGACCACAGCAAAACCAATATTCAGCCATGCATTGGTAGAAATATTGTTCAGGATGTCTGAACTGCCGGCATCGAGGAAATAAAAGGGCAGGCTGAGCAGCACATAAATCAGGAAGATGAAGAATCCGTATAAAAAAGCATTGGTAATGCCTTTTTGCTTGTTGCCCGACTTCTTGGTAAAAAACGACACTGTCAGCGGAATCATGGGGAATGTACACGGCATGATTAAACCTACCAGTCCGCCCAGGAAACCCAGTATAAAAATACCCCATAAACTTTTTTTACCACTGTCTTCGCCGCCGGTGCCACCACAATTATTCACTGGGTTAGCCACATCAATAGCACTGCGTTTTAATAAACCGGCGGCCTCTTTGGATTCGGTTAAGCCTCCCTGCTTTGCCAGCAGGTTGCCGGAAGGATCAAACGAAAACCGAAAGGGAACTTCCTCCGGCCCCACTACGCTGTCTCCCCTGATGGCCATAAAAGCTACTGTGCCGCGAATATCTTTTGCCGTTTCGCTGGCTTTAATGGTCAACTGGATGTTTACGGTATTTTCAAAATAGCGGATCGTCATATCGCCCAGCAATGCTTCTTTGGCAGTTTTAAGATCACCTGCTTCCGAAGTGTTTTCAACAGCAATAAAAGTAAGTGCAGCAGAATCCGGTTTGATACGTGTATTGGGTTCGTCATCTTTCATAGTGGTGGAAAACAATTTCCATCCCTTCTGAATGCTGGCGGAGAAAGAAAGTTTGTAGGTCTTTTCGCCTGTTTTGGAAGCCCCAAAACGCCAGTCAACTATTTTTGAAGCTTGTGTAGTATCCTGGGCAGCCAGGCCCATGGCCAACAGGCATAGACCAATGAGGACGCGTATTTTTTTCATTACAGTTTGTTATAAAACCAACGGGTTCCTTTTGCAAAGAACCCGTTTTATAGAGAAGATGTTTGATTGCATAAAAGACTAGCCGCCAATATTAACTTTAATGTCTACTTTGGAAGGGGGAAGGCATTGGCTATCATTGCACACGATGAATTCTACTGCACCTGCCAGGGTGGTTTTAATATCTCCCCTCAGTTTCACCACCTGTACAAAGTCAACCGTTTTCTCGTAAAAATTAACGGTGCCGGGCCAGGCCGACTCATATTTTTTCACCAGCTTGCCCACTTCCTTTGTTTTGCCTTCTGTTACTGCCAGAGGGTTTTTAACAAAAGTGAAAGTGGTAGGCAAAGGCCCCTCTACCCCCGCATTTTGGGCATACAAATGATAGCTGGAACCGATGGTGGCCGTCATGTGTACCTCATAGGTTTTATCGGCTATTTTTTTGGCAGTGTAAGCCCATTGCACCTGTTTGGCAGATTGCGCGTTTACCGCAGTAGTTAATACACCCAGGAAAAACAAAAAGTAGATTTTTTTCATAAACACAGAAATATATTACACAAGAACGAAAATATTGCTGCAAAGTTCTGTAATACTATGCTAATAAAACGGTAAAATAGGCTATACCAAAGCAGGCTGCCGGCTCATCAACAGGGCGTTTATGATAAGGCGGCCGTCTGTATTGCCCAATGCGGCGGAACAGGCCCTTTCCGGGTGCGGCATCATGCCAAACACATTGCCTGCTGCATTACAAATACCGGCTATATTGCGGGTAGCACCATTTGGGTTGGCGGCTGCTGTGATATTACCCTGCGCATCGCAGTAACGGTAAATTACCTGGTCTTTGGCTTCCAGTTCGTCCAGTATTTTTGGCTCGGCAAAATACCTGCCTTCTCCGTGGGCAATGGGAACTTTCAACGCCTTTTCTGCCCCCCTTCCCTTGATATATATGTTATTGCAAATAAACTGCTGGTTGGCATTTCTTAACAATACCCCGGGCAGCAGGTGCGACTCGCAGAGGATCTGGAAACCATTGCAAACACCCAGCACCTTTCCTCCCCTGTTGGCAAAATCAATAACACTTTGCATCATGGGACTAAAACGGGCAATGGCGCCGCAACGCAGGTAGTCTCCGTAAGAAAACCCGCCAGGCAATACCAGGCAATCATCTGTAGAAAACATGCTGATATCCTTGTCTTTGTGCCAAAGCATGATCACTTCTTTCTTAAGATCCTGCTGCAGGGCATCCTGCATATCTCGGTCGCAATTTGAGCCTGGAAATACTACAACGCCAAATTTCATAAATAAAAGTATTGGAGGCGGTAAAGATAACTCAAAAACCAATTTCTGATGGCTGATTTGCAGATGTCTGATATACTATAATCAGTTATACACATTTTTTACCTGCTTATCCCATTCTATAAAAAACGAGACCGGTGCGCATTTGCAATTTCAGCCGGAAAATCAGTAAATACATGGAGGAATGGCGGCGCAAAAGACATCAGACCCGTCCGACCAGGTCATTCGGGCGGGCATATCCAAATCAGCCATCAGACATCCTTTTAGCCATGCACCGTATAATTTAACGCAATTACAAACCCAAATATGGCCCAGTGCAGCAGCAGGGGAAACCAGCGGCCCGGCAGGTAGTAATAGGCAGCTGCATGAAAAACAGCCAGGGGGACCACCACCGGTAACCAGTGCAGGTAATTATTGCCCGGGTTTACCAGGATGATAAGCACGGACACTATCAGCAGCACCAGCAGCAGGCTCCAGCTTTTACGCATCTGTATCAGCATTTTGCCCAGGTTTACCTGCGCATACCAGGCGCCAATTAAAAAAGGTACCACCATGAAAAAAATACCGCCGGTTATCCACAAAGAAGAAGGCAGCTTGGGCAGGTGAAATGAAATATCCGGTATCACCTTGTGCCAGTTCCACTGATTGCCCAGGAACAATACCACAAAGAGAAAGTAATAGGGAGTAGTAAAGCCCAGCAGGGCTACCATCCATTCAGTAATGCGGAACGGCCTCATTATTAATAGCGCAAACATTAAAAGCACCAGGAAAACCACGGCCGGGCTATAAATCAGCGGTAGCAGACCTACCAGCATACTTACATTAAAAATGGCTGTTTTAGGTGCATTGTTGTTATAGAGATTGGTAAGCCGGTAGCAAATCCATATCAGCAGCGAATTTACCAGCAGGGGCGCGGAGAACAGGTTCCACTCATGCACCAGCGAGGTGATAAGAATATAGGACATGCCAATCAGGAAATTGGATTTGGGCAAGAGCCTGAGCGAATTGCCGATGCGGTTCAGCAGGGTGGCCTGTACAAAAAGCAGGATAAAGGCCAGCAAAGAAAAAACCAGTGGATTGCTGTCAGTTGTTAAAGAAGAAAGGAATTTGACAATGATATTGAAAATATAATTATCCCCTTCATTCACAATGTATTTTTCGGGATGCAGCAAAAAAGAAAACTTCAGGGCCAGTGCATAGAGTAACAATACCAATGCATTACCGGGATTTTTTTGTTTAAAGATTCCGATCAAGTTGTTGGTTTTTGGATGGGTTGCTTAATATTCAAGTTTTGCAAAACAAAGATAATTGCGGTACATACACGGTACAATAACCTGCCTTGAAGCAACCTGCTTGCCGGAACGCGTCATAAACTCGTATCCCTTATCCAGGTTTTTCAGGGTGGGGTTGCGTGTAAGTTTGCCATCTGAAGATATGCTTTGATCGTTTAACATCATAGTCCGTTTTTCAGACATATTAAACAGGAAGTGTATTTCTGACCCGGTATTGATTAACTGGAAAGAAATCATGTTGTCAGACTCATCGTCGTACTGACTTTTGGGGATGACTGTTGTCCAGTCTACAGCGCCGTTTTTATCAAAAGAAAGCAGCATGATGTTTTCTGCATTGTAGCGGGTGTTCTGCATATTGTTCCAGCGGTTCCAGGGGCTTCCGTAATACCCATACGGAGAGTAGGAATAGTAATCCATGGGCGACATCCAGGGATTGCCATAGCCCATATAATCCCAGCGGTTAAAGGCGTTGCCGCGGCTGGTACTGTATTCAGACTCGGTAACCAGTAAATAACCACCATCTTTCCGCACAATAATGTTGCGCAGGAAAAAATCGTTAAAGGCATTTTTCATGGAAGCATCCTGGCCCTTGGCATTGGCCCGCAATTCATCATTGAATACGCTGCTTACCTCCCTTATTTTCCTGTTCTCTACTTTGTCCCACAGCAGCGAATACAGGCCCTCAATACTGCCCCTTTTCTGCTTATAATAAAAAGCGTTCAGCAGTATACGTTTGTTGGTATTGTCGGCTTTCAGTTTTATCTCGTCCAGGATCTTTCCGTCCAGCTCTACATTACTTACAGACAATTGCGCAGAATCGGGATATTTGATAACCATTGAGAGTTTGGTAATGTACTCATTAAAATTCTGGCGCAGGAATTTGCCAAATACCAATTCACCATCATTGGTAAGCAAAAAATCGGTAAAAAAATCGTTTCTTTCTTCCATGGGCATGGGCATACGCTCTTTGCGCCCCTGCAGCAGCAGATCTTTGTTGTACAGCAATGTGGTGAAAACGAAATTGTCGCGGTTGCGGCTGTTTATCTTAAACACCATAATACGCTGCTTGTCGTCGCTGTTGATGGTGGTGTAGATTTTATTGTTGGAGGCGAAGCCAACCTGGGTAGTGTCCAGCTCTATGGGATCCATCATTTTTTTGGCATTCCCGTCCAATTTGGCAGCCATGCAATGCACGATGCTGCGTTTCTGGTACTGGTAAATCATGTAGATAAAATCGGGGTAGGCTATGAAATCGATATTGATCAATTGCTGATCCGGGGTAAAATCCAGCTTTACCCTTTCTTTCAGTTTCATATCATTGTCGTAGATACAGATGGCATCATCGTTCCGGTTGGCTTTATACACCAGGAAATTGCCATTCAGCTTTCCTATGATTTCAAAATTGGTGCGGCGGCTATCGTCTTTCTCCGGTTCGCTGTACACAATTCTTGGCGCCTGTGCTTTCACCAGGCTTAGGGTAAAAAAAAGCAATGCAACGGCGAGTAACCTTTTATACGGCATACAATATTATTTCGGTTATTAAAATTACAGGATAGGGCCCAATTTATGAATAGTAATTGCTTCTATATAACGTTTTTACCCTGCCGAAAGATGGGTCTAACAGGCCTGTATGGCAATTTTTAACGCCATGTTGGTAAATGGCAGATGCCCGGCAGAACCCATTTACATAAAAAACCGCGGAATTGTTTTTCCGTATACCTTTGTAACAGCGTCGGGGTTACTCCCGGCGCAATTTGTTATACCGGAACAATGAAACGAACAGTTGATAGTTATTGCTGGAACAAAAGCAGGTGCTGCCATTTGCAGGAAGAAGGAGTACAGCATACACTGCCCGCCCGGGATCTGAGGCACAACCCCCATTCTTTAACAAGTATAACTGCAATCCCTAACCCCTGATCTATAATTTTCTTTACCGTGAGCAAACATCTTAACATTAATAGAGTAAGTGCAGCAGGACTGGTAGTTGCACTGGGAATTATTTATGGCGATATCGGGACTTCTCCCCTGTATGTGCTGAACGCCATTACAAAGGGTAAAATAATCACGGACGATCTTATTATTGGCAGCCTTTCCTGTATTATCTGGACCCTTACACTGCAAACCACATTAAAGTATGTGATCCTTACCCTAAAAGCAGACAACCGGGGGGAAGGAGGCATATTCTCTTTGTATGCACTGGTGAGAAGGCAGAAAAAATGGCTGGTACTGCCTGCCATGATTGGCGGCGCCGCACTGCTGGCCGATGGCATGATTACACCGCCCATCTCGGTTACCTCTGCCATCGAGGGTTTGCGTAATATTCCCCAACTGAGCGGTATACCCACAAAAACCATCATCTATATTGTACTGGGCATTATCACCGTACTGTTTTTCCTGCAGCAATTCGGTACAGCCTCGATCGGGAAAATCTTTGGGCCCTTAATGATGATTTGGTTTACCATGATGGCTGTGCTGGGCATCATCCATTTTCATGAAGACCTCAGTATTTTCAAAGCGCTGAGCCCCCATTATGCAGTTAAACTGCTCTCTACTTACCCCAACGGCTTCTGGATACTGGGCGGCGTATTTCTGTGTACTACCGGGGCAGAAGCGCTGTACAGCGATCTTGGTCATTGCGGCCGTGGTAATATCCGCATTTCCTGGATATTCGTAAAGACCTGTCTTGTACTCAACTACCTGGGGCAGGGCGCCTGGATACTCACGCACAAGAAAGGCGTAATGATTACAGAAGAAATGATTGGCAAAGGATTCAATCCTTTCTACGGCGTTATGCCGGAATGGTTTCTTATACCCGGCATTATCATCGCCACCGCAGCCGCCATTATCGCCAGCCAGGCATTGATCAGCGGTTCATTTACGCTTATCAGTGAGGCCATGCGCCTGAGCCTGTGGCCAAAAATGAGGGTGGTATTTCCTACAGAAGAAAGGGGACAAATCTATATCCCCGGCATCAACTTCCTGCTGTTTTTCGGTTGCAGCGGTGTGGTACTTTATTTCAGGGAATCTACCAATATGGAAGCTGCCTACGGACTGGCCATTACACTCTGTATGCTGGCTACCTCTATTCTTTTTGCCAACTACCTGGTCACCAAAAGAACCGCCTCCATGTGGATCTATCTGTACCTGCTGGTGTACCTGTCTATTGAACTGAGTTTCCTGTTTGCCAACCTCGACAAATTCAAGCACGGTGGTTATGTAGCCCTGCTGGTAGCCGGCGGCCTCTTTGCCATTATGTACATCTGGTACCGCAGCCGGAAAATTAAAAACAGGTATGTAGAGTTTGTTCGGCTGGAGCATTACCTGCCGCAGATACAGGAACTGAGCAACGACAAAACCGTTCCCAAATACGCTACCCACCTGGTGTATATGACCAGTGCCAATAACCCCAAGGAAATTGAACACAAAATCATCTACTCTATTCTTAACAAGAAACCCAAGCGGGCAGATATTTACTGGTTTGTGCACGTAGACACGGTAGACGACCCATACACCAGCGAATACAATGTAGAGCATATCATTCCCAACGATATTATCCGCGTAGAGTTTAAACTGGGTTTCAGGATGGAGCCTAAAATTAACCTCATGTTCAGGAAAGTAGTGGAAGACCTGGTGCAAAACAAAGAAGTTAATATTACCAGCCGCTATGAAAGCCTGGAGCGCAATAATGTGGTGGGCGACTTCCAGTTTATTGTAATGGAGAAATACCTGAGCCAGGACAATGAACTTCCTTTCTTTGAAAGAGTAGTAATGAAACTGTATTTCTGGCTGAAAGAGATAAGCCTTTCTGAAGAAAGAGGTTTCGGTCTTGACCCCTCCAATGTAAACATTGAAAAATTTCCGCTGATAGTGGCACCGGTGCAGGGCATTAAACTGAAAAGGGTGTATTATAATGAGGAAGAGGTGTGAGTGGTGAGTGGTGAGTGGTGAGTGGTGAGTAAAGGCGATTGGCAACCGGCCTACCATGGTTGCATCAAAATGATTTATTTTTTTGTTACACCAGCTTACTGCGCAACTGACATGCATTATTGAATACAACCATCCTCTATATAATCATTGCTATTGCAGTGCTGAGCCTGCTGGTGTACCTGCTGCAGGACAAGTTTATTTTTAAGCCCGAGAAGCTGCGGCAGGATTTTGAATTCAAATACGAAATCCCGTTTAAGGAATTGTTTTTTGACATTGAACCCGGCGTACGCATCAACGGGCTGCATTTTTACCGCCCCGAACCCAAGGGATTGATACTGTATTTCCACGGCAATACCCGCAGCATAAAAGGATGGGCCAAATACGCGGTTGATTTCTACCGTTATGATTACGACGTAGTGCTGGTAGACTACCGTGGCTTTGGCAAAAGTACCGGCAAAAGAAGCGAAAAAGAAATGCTGGCAGACATGCAGTTTGTGTACAGCACCCTGGCGGGGCAATACCCCGAACACCATATACTGGTGTATGGCAGAAGCCTGGGCAGCGGCTTTGCCAGCAAAATTGCCAGCGATAACAAACCCCGCTACCTGATACTGGATGCCCCTTTTTATAATTTCACGCGGGTGGTGGAACGCTTTCTTCCCTTTTTGCCCGTTAAATTTTTATTGATGTACCAGTTGCGTACCGACAAATGGCTGCGCCATGTGAACTGCCACACTTATATTATTCATGGTACGCGTGACAGGCTGATACCCATAAAACACAGCGAGCAGCTGCAAAAAATAAACCCGCACAAGATTACCCTTATCCGCATCCATGGCGGCGGGCACAATAACCTGCCTTCATTTCCGGAGTACCATAATTTTGTGAGGGATATATTAAAATATTAAATGATTGCTGATTGGGGGATTTTTAGATTTCCTGCATTCGGAATTCAATGTCGTTTAGTTAGTATAACTCACCCCTGCGCATCTACGATGCGCTTCCCCCTCTGCGTTGCAGAGAGGTGTGTCGTCGCGAAGCGATGACGGGGTGAGTAGCTTAACTAAACGACATTGAATTCCGAATTGCTGAAAAGATCACCCAATCGCAAAATCACGAAATCAGGTATTGTCTCCGTTTGATGAAAAGGCCAGTAATGCGGCTGTTTCAGAGGTACTAAAGAACCGGTGGTCAGGCGATTTATCGTGCCACGGTTTAAATATTGATGGAGCCAGCCCCCGCAGTGACAACCGTGGCACGTAAAATCGCTTTCAGCAGTTGTTACTTTAGAGAAAGGTTTCGCTACCATTTATTCAAACTGAGACACAACCCAAAATCACAAAATTGAAGAGATGTCTAATCGAAAGATGATATTCAGGTGGATAAAAATTGCGCTAATGCTGTACGGGCTGATTGGCATAGGCATTTATTACCTGCAGGAAAAAGCTTTGTTCCGTCCTGAAAAAGTTGAATTAAATACGCCCTATGCATTTACCGACGCGCATAAAGAGATCAATATTGCTTTTAATGAGCAGACCAATATCAATATTGTACAGTTCACTGCCGGCCCTGCTCCCAAAGGCGTGGTATTGTATTTTCACGGTAACCGTAAAAACATTTCCCGGTTTGCAAAGTTTGCACCCAATTTTACCAAAAATGGCTACGAGGTCTGGATGGTTGATTATCCCGGTTACGGCAAAAGCACCGGCCCCATGTCTGAACAGCGCCTGTACGATTTTGCCGATCAGCTGTATAAACTGGCCGCAGCCCGTTTTGCCAAAGACAGTATTGTTATCTATGGCAAGAGCCTGGGTTCTGGTATTGCGGCCTGGCTGGCTTCCCGTAAAAACAGCCGCCAGTTAATCCTGGAAACGCCCTATTACTCCATCACCTCTTTGTGTAAACGCTATCTCCCTATCTACCCGGTAAGCAGGATGATTCATTATAAAATTCCCACTTATGAATACCTGCAGGGGGTGATTGTACCCGTTACCATTCTGCATGGTACTGCAGACGGTGTTATCCCCTACAGCAATGCAGAAAGACTGAAGCCTTACCTGAAGCCAGCCGATAAATTCATTACCATTGAAGGCGGCAGCCACAATGACCTCAATAATTACCCCCTGTTTCACCAGGCACTGGATTCATTGTTAAAATAAATAGCTAAAACGTTAAAAAGCATTGTTTATTTGTCTTTATGTAAAGTTTACTTTACATTTGGTAAATAAAACTTTACACATGCAAACTTCATTATTACTACCCAACCGCTATAAAAAGCTCGGTTTATTGCTGCTGATACCATCCCTGGCACTGGGTATACTGGTACGCTTTTTTGATTTCCAGTTTTCATTGCTCACTTTGAATTTTGCAAAAACCTCTATTAACCGCAAAGACCTTCACCTGGAAGACACCATTAACCTCACAGACGAGCTGGCCCTTACCGGCATTATTACTGGATTATTATTCATTGCTTTTGCCAGGGAGAAAACAGAGGATGAGTATATAGCGCATACCCGGCTGGAATCCCTGAAATGGGCGGTTCTGATCAACTACATTTTGTTGCTGGCAGCTACCTGGCTGGTACATGGAGTTGGCTATATTGATGTAATGATGTACAATATGCTCACTGTACTCATCATTTTCATTGTACGGTTTAACTATACACTTAGCAATAATAAAAAATTGGCTGACTAAAACGCACCCCATGAAAAATACCATAAAAATAGAAAGGGCCGTATTGAATATCACGCAGCAGGAACTGGCGGAGAAAATAGGCGTATCGCGGCAAACCATCAATGCCATTGAAAGCAATAAATATGTGCCTTCCACGGTATTGGCGCTGAAGATGGCAAGACTATTTCAAAAAAAGGTAGACGATATTTTTATGCTGGAAGCAACAGACTAACCGTTTGCCAGCCGGAAGTGTAACAACAGGTTTTGCAGGCAGGGATACAGCACAATTTCATTACACAAAACTTAAACAATGAAAACAACACAGATTGGCTTTAAAAGGCTAACAGGGATGTTATGCCCCTTATTACTTACTGCATTTCTTTTTCTGCCGGCTATTTCCTGCAGAAAGAACAATGCTGCACCTGCTGCAGCTGCCAGCTTACAGGAAGCAGTAGACAAACTGCAAGGCGAGATCATCACCGGCAGCATATCAACGGAAAGTGATGATGAAGGAATTGCATTGTGGTGCAACAACGGAAAAACATTGATTGGCATGGCAAGTATCCCTTCCCGGGCATTTGCCAATCCGGGAAAAATTGAGCATGCACAGGTAGTGTATTCAAACTACGGAATCATTATCCGCGACATGGATACCAACAGGCTTTGGTATTATATTCAGAACGACCCGCAAAGTGAGCAAAAATTTCAATCATTACCAGCTACCGGCGAAACGCCTGTGCTATCAGGCACTGCCGAAACCATTAAACTTCATCTTTCATAGTAACTGATAATTGTGCCATACACCTGCTTTACAAAGCCAGCTAACTGTTGCAAATACAGTTAGCTTCCGGCGTTTCATCGGCCGCTACGCAACATTCCCACTCACCACTTACCACTCACTACTCACCACTCACGACTCACGACTCACGACTCACCACTCACCACTCACGCCTGACACCTCACGATTTACGCCCCCTCACACCGGCACCACATTCGCGCTCTTGTTTTTCCGGATATTTTCCGGCACGGCCAGTATAATTTCTTCTTTCAGCGCTTCTATCATTCGCTTCTTTACAAAATCGCGGTGTACTACAATGCTCACTTCGCGCATGGGCGCGGGCTTTTTAAAATGGCGGATTTGCTGTAATTGCCTGGCCGACATGTCAAGCGTCGTGAGTTCCGGCAAAATAGTAATGCCGTCATTCAGTTCTACCATGCGGCGCAGGGTTTCAATACTGCCGGCTTCATATTCAAAATGATTGCTGAGCTCCGCAGACCTCCGCAACTCGCAGAGGTTTACTATCTGCGACCGGAAGCAATGCCCTTCCTCCATAAGCCATAATTTATTGGGATCAATATCCTGCGGCAATACATAGGTCTTTTTGTAGGCACTGTTCTTTTTAGAAATATAGGCCAGCAGTTCTTCATAAAACAATACATATTCCCTGATGCACTTTTTCTGCAACGGCGTTACCAGTATGCCCACATCTATCCGGCCTTCGCGCAGCCGCGCTACAATATATTCCGTCATCATCTCATTCACTATCAGTTTTACCTGGGGGTATTTCTTATTGAATCCCTGCACAAACAATGGCAGCAGGTAAGGCGCCAGGGTAGGAATAATACCAATCCGCAGCTCACCGGTCATTACCCCTTTTTTTACCTGCGTAATATCTGTCATTACAGATTTCTCTGCCAGTATCCGGTTGGCCTGCTCTATTATTTCCCGGCCCGCCTCGGTAGGTACTACCGGTTGTTTACTACGGTCGAATATTTTTATGCCCAGCTCTTCCTCCAGTTTCTGCACCTGCATGCTCAATGTTGGTTGTGTTACAAAACATCTTTCAGCAGCAGTGGCAAAATGCCGGCAGTTATCCAGTGCTACAATGTATTCCAGCTGTACAAATGTCATGATATAGTTTTTATCTATGAGCCGATAAAATTAATCAATTTGCATTATAAACTGTTTACATGAAATTTGTAGACGACATTCAAGTAAAGACCGCCACAGTTGTTTACAGTTTTTTAAAAAGAAAAACCTATACAAACACCAAATCCCGCTGTAATGGCGGGATTTTTTTATTCAATGGCTTACACCTGGAGCGGGTTATATTTGGCTTTCTCCGCAGTGTCTCTCCAGCACCCACTAAAAACACAAACACATCCGCGGAGGACACTGCGGCCAATGGAAACGGCAGCACCTGGCTTTCTCCGCAGTGTCTCTCCAGCACCATCTAAAAATACAAACGCAGCAGCGGAGGACGCTGCGGCCAATGGAAACGGCAGCACCCGGCTTTCTCCGCAGTGTCTCTCCAGCACCATCTAAAAATATAAACGCAGCAGCGGAGGACGCTGCGGCCAATGGAAACGGCAGCACCCGGCTTTCTCCGCAGTGTCTCTCCAGCACCATCTAAAAATACAAACGCAGCAGCGGAGGACGCTGCGGCCAATGGAAACGGCAGCACCTGGCTTTCTCCGCAGTGTCTCTCCAGCACCATCTAAAAATACAAACGCAGCAGCGGAGGACACTGCGGCCAGGCAATACGTACAGTATCCTAATAAATCCGGCTTACTCCTCCAGCACCACTTTATTCTTGCCCACTTTCAACTTATACCCCACCCCCACTTTCAATGCATAATTTTCTTTGGAATGGCTGACTGGGAAATTATAGCAAACAGGATAATCATACTCTTTTACAATGTCCTGTACAATCTCGTACACGGTTTTACCAAAAGGCCTTTCGGTATCCGACATGTCTGAAAAACCGCCTATGATAAGTCCTGCCAGTTTTTCCAGCATACCACTTCTTTTCAGCTGGTAGAGCATGCGGTCAACTTTATACAGCAGTTCACCGGTATCTTCCAGGAATAAAATACGTCCCTTTGTTTTACTTTCCGAAGAAGTACCTACCAGGTGCGATACCAGGGTAAGATTGCCGCCTACCAGTTCCCCCACTGCTTCGCCCCTGCGGTTAAAATCATGAACAGCGCATTCGTACCGGGCTTTTTTACCTTCCAGTGCATTTTTCAGCGACTGTACAAATTCACCCTCTGCACCGCCATCATTGAATGCTGCCGCCATGGGTGCATGCAGGGTAGCAATTTTATAATTGCTGTAAATATGCTGGTGCAGCACGGTAATATCGCTGAAGCCGATGATCCATTTGGGCTTTTTTTTGAAGAGCGAAAAATCAAGCTGATCAATAATCCTTCCCAATCCATAGCCGCCGCGGCCGCAGAGAATGGCATTGATACTGTCATCATCCAGCATGGCCTGCAGCTCGTCGGCCCTTTCTTCGTCTGTGCCGGAAAAATAATTGGCAGAACCGCTGCCCAGGGTTTTACCCACCATTACATTATAGCCCCATTCATGCAGGGTATCTATACAGGTTTGCGCTTTCTCTGCCGCCATAAAACCTGCCGGACAGGTAATGCCAATAGTGTCACCTTTTTGCAAAAACGGGGGAATGATAGTCATGTTATTATTTTAATGCCGCCTTTTTTTGTTGATCGCGCTGGCTGATTTCTTTCAAACTTACGGAATCGCTATTGACTTCCAACCGGTGCAACACACCGCATTTGAGGGCAAAATTATTTTTCTGGTGACCTACCGGGAAATCGAAACATACCGGGTATTTATAAGCGCTTACTTTTTCCAATATGACATCCTGTAAACTGCGGCCAAAAGCATCGTCCGGGCTATCGTCTGCTTTTACTTTAAAACCACCCACTATCAACCCGCTGAGCGCCGCCAGTTTGCCCGTGCGCTTCAATCCCCAGAACATGCGGTCAATACTGTACAGGTATTCGTTGGTGTCTTCTACAAATAAAATCTTGCCGGCCGTTTTAATATCAGATTTGCTGCCTGCCAGCGATTCCAGGGTTTTCAGGTTGCCGCCTACCAGCACCCCTTCTGCCAGCCCTGTTCTATTTTTTTCATTGGGTGTAGCGCTGTACTTCATTTTCTCACCCGCCAGCGCCTGTTTGATAGAAAGGATAGTTTCTATCTGTACCGGTTCTGCCTTGGTCCAGTCGTCAGGAAAACTATTGCACATTTTTGAATGAATGGAACTGATGCCGTAATTGCGGTTGAGGTGCGAATGAATGACCGTAATATCGCTGAACCCAATGATCCACTTGGGATGCTGCTGCAATTTGGTAAAATCTAATTGATCAATAATACGCACGGCACCATAACCACCACGGGCGCACATAATGGCTTTGATGGAGGGATCATCCAGCAGCTGCTGAAAATCTGCCACCCGTTCTGCATCGGTGCCGCCAAACGTAAAATCGCGCCTGCCAATGGTAGCGCCCAGTTTAATGGTATAGCCCCAACTTTGCAGCTGCTGTATGGCGGGTTGTATATCCTGCAGGGTAATATAGCCGGCGGGACTGGTAATGCCAATGGTATCGCCGGGTTTCAGGTATTTGGGAATAATCAATGCGCTTTCTGCATCGTCATCATCATTGCCGGTTCGGGCAGCGATGGCCGGTATAGCCGCCCCGGCAGCCAGTGCAGCAGAAAGAAAATGTTTACGGTTCATAGGCTAAAGTTATCGGAAATCATGCATTTTGGCGTTGGAGGCAATTAAGGTATTTTTGCAGGCTGTTACGGCTGCCGGAAAAGCTCAGCTGGGGTCAACAGTACAAGTGTGCGACGCCCGTCCGACTGGCGTCAGCCGGGCGGGCAAGGATGCTTAATTGAAATTCAAAAGCTAAGGACAAAAGAAGACAAACAATGAAAGATTACAAACGAATATTGGTTACCGCCGCCCTTCCTTATGCCAACGGGCCGGTGCATATTGGCCACCTGGCGGGCTGCTATATCCCCGCAGATATCTATGTGCGCTACCAGCGGGCGCAAAAACGCGATGTGAAATTTGTAGGTGGCAGCGATGAACATGGGGTACCCATTACCATCCGCGCCATGAAAGAAGGCGTTACACCCCAGCAGGTAGTGGATAAATACCATGCGCTCATCAAAGACAGCCTGCAGCAGATGGGCATTTCTTTTGACATTTATTCGCGCACTTCCAACAAAGTACACCACGATACCGCATCGGCCTTCTTTAAAAGACTGTACGATGATGGCCTGTTTGAGGAAAAGGAATCAGAACAGTATTACGACGAGCAGGCAAAAACGTTTTTGGCCGACCGTTATATTATTGGCACCTGCCCGGTATGCGCCAATCCCAATGCCTATGGCGACCAGTGCGAAAAATGCGGGTCTACCCTCAGTCCCGAAATGCTGATAAACCCGCACAGCGCCCTCAGCGACGCCGTGCCGGTGAAGAAAACAACCAAACACTGGTATTTTCCATTGCAGAACTACGAAGCCTGGCTGAAAGAATGGATTGTGGAAGGCCATACAGAATGGAAGAACAACGTTTATGGTCAGTGCAAAAGCTGGCTCGACAATGGCCTGCAGCCCCGCGCCATGACGCGTGACAGCAACTGGGGCATTAAAGTACCCCTGCCCGATGCAGAAGGAAAGGTATTGTATGTTTGGTTTGATGCGCCCATTGGTTATATCTCTGCCACCAAAGAACTGACCGAACACTGGGCAGACTACTGGTGTAAGGATGACACCAAACTGGTGCACTTTATTGGTAAAGACAATATCGTTTTCCATTGCATTATTTTCCCGGCCATGCTGAAAGCCCATGGCAATTTTGTACTGCCGGACAATGTACCTGCCAACGAATTTCTGAATATAGAAGGCGACAAGGTATCTACCAGCCGCAACTGGGCGGTTTGGGTGAATGATTACCTGCAGGATTTTCCGGAGCAGCAGGATGCCTTACGCTACGTGCTATGCGCCAATGCGCCGGAAACCAAGGACAATGATTTTACCTGGAAGGAATTCCAGGACAGGAACAACAGCGAGCTGGTAAATATTTTCGGCAATTTTATTAACCGCACTTTTGTGCTGATGCACAAACTCTGCAATGGCAAAGTGCCACCGCTGCATAAGAATGCACTGGATGAAAAAGATGCTGCAATACTGCAGGATATAAGCGCTGCCAAAACCAATACAGAAAACCTGCTGGAGCAATATAAATTCCGTGATGCATTGTTTGAAGTAATAGACCTTGCCAGGAAGGGCAATAAATACATGCAGGAAAAAGAACCCTGGATTGTTGCCAAACGCCTTACAGAAAACCCCGGCGCACAGGAACTGATCGACAACTGCCTGCACCTCTGCCTGCAGCTGACCGCCAACCTGGCCGTGCTGGTAAACCCATTTTTGCCAGGCACAGCAAAGAAAATGCTGCACATGATGAAAGTGGTAGAGAAAATGCTGGACTGGGAAAACGCCGGCAAGACCAATTTATTAAGTGTGGGCTACAGCCTGCGCGAGCCGCAACTGCTGTTCAGGAAAATAGAAGACGCTGAAATAACCGCCCAGGTAGAAAAACTGCATAAAAACAAAATAATGAGCGCTGTTGAAAAAGAAAAAGAAGGCACTGCGGCTGCCTGGTCAAGTGATCAACCTGTTGTTAAATCAACCATTGAATACGATGATTTTGCCAAACTGGATTTGAAAGTAGGCACCATACTGAGTGCAGAAAAAGTAGCCAAAGCCGATAAACTCCTAAAACTGGAAGTAGATCTTGGTTTTGAAAAAAGAACCATTGTCTCCGGCATTGCCCTGCATTTTACGCCGGAAGAAATTACTGGCAAACAGGTGGTAGTAGTAACCAACCTGGCCCCCCGTAAAATGCGCGGCATAGAAAGCAATGGTATGATACTGATGGCCGAAGACAAAGCAGGCAAACTGCATTTTGTAAAGCCGGAAAATATGATTGATGCCGGCGCCGGCGTAAGTTAATTACCGGCACTGCTGCAAATATTGAAAAAGGCTGTCCCAGCAGAACGGGGCAGCCTTTTTAATTCGGGGCGTTTCTATTTTTTGCTTACCGGGCAAAAGATGCCGGCACCCCATCCCGCGCCTCTTTACACCCGCAGCTGAAATCATTTGCAGATAAAGGCAACCGCATTGTCAAAATTTTTTCTTCTGCATTCACTTCATTATCAAAAAAATTGCTGCCAAGGGTATTTCAAAAAGTAAGTTTCCTTTGACAATAAGCAGGTTATATTCTTTTTAGTGCCAATGATGCGTTGCAAATAACAAATTTTGAGCTTATAATGGTCATTATGCATCGTAAATAGCCCATTTTGGGTTGCACAATGACTATTAAGCGTTGCAACTGGTAATTCCCACATTTTTTTAAGCCATTACGCGTTGCAAAAGTACTGTTATTATCTCTTCAGCGCTATGATGAATTGCAAAGAGCCCGTTTTGAGTTGCACAATGACCTTTATGAGCAGTAAAAGTAGATGACGAGTTGCGCAATGGCCATTATGAGTTGTAAATGGCCCATTCTAAATGCAAAATGACCATTGTGCGCTGTAAAAAGCCCATTTTAAATTACAGCATGGCCATTATGAATTGCAAAAAGTAAATTTATTTTCTCTTCAGCGTCATGATGAATTGCGAATAGTGCATTTCATTTTGTACAATGACCATTATGAGTTGTAAAAATATTTTTATTTTCCCTTCAGCGTCATGATGAATTGTGAATATTGCATTTAGAAATAGAAATGGGCTATGTAAAAATCGGCAAATCGCCGGGGACACTTCACATAGGAAACGAATGTTGGGAGCTGTTATTTAGGTTTTTGTCTCATGTAAATTAAAGGGACAATGTGTCGACTTATTTTATGGTTGCAATTAAGAGTATATTGTTTACTCTGCAATTCGGAAATGGCATCATTAAACAAAATTGATAAAAAAGCATTTAATTTATCTATTCTGGATTTCTTGATAATATTAAAACTTTCAATATGCCCCATTTTATTTATCAAGAAGGCCACTTTCAAAGTGTCTGTCGCTATATTCTTGCTCAAAGCTTCAACCTCGACTTCTTTGTCGAAAATAGGTTTTGCACTTTGAACAAACTCAAATTTGTTTTTTTTGCATATTCTCTTAAAGGTTAACTCTCCGAATTTAGTTTGGACAATAACTTTTAGTGTGTCGGAGTTTAGATTTCGAGAATATGCATCCAAGCCGCCTAAGAAAAGTACAAAGAAAATAAGTGCTTTCATTTTTGGGATTCCCTTAATATGTAATCGCGCTACGAACAGGTGTTGCAGCAGGTGTGGAATTCATTGCATATCCTGCCTGAAACTGCTGCCCATTAAAGATTTAAAAGTACAAGTTAAAAACTAAAAAGCCCAACAGAATTCCGTCTGCCGAAACCGCTGCTGATAGTTAACTACAGCCGAAGATAACAACGTAAAGCCAAGCTTGCAGCGACACCCATGTTGCCTGCATGTGCCTCGTTATTACACACTCAATTGCTGTTCTATTTCGGGCATTTCGTCATAAGTCCTTCCGTTGAGAATACGCCCATTCTTTTTTTTGCTTCGGCCGCCCCATTGTTTGAAAAAGAAAGCAACGCCAGATTTTTTACATTGGTCTTGAATGTCAATAACCCAATCTGGGTCCATTGGCCTTGGTTTATGCCCACTTTCACCACCAACAATCACCCAATCAATCTTTTTTAAATTTAAATTTGGGAGAGCACCAATAAGTGGTTCACATGAAAGGAATTTTACTTTGGCTTTTGTTTTTCCTAGATAGTCGATGCGACTTTTTACCTTATCGTTTTCTACAGAAACTCCCATCCAAATATTATGTGTCCACTTTACCTCATTATGCACCTCAAAAAGCCTTTCAGCTCTTTTTGTCAAAACTTGGAAAACATGCTGTGGATTATCATTCATCACTGCAAAAACCTTTTTTATAAAATCAAGAGGAACGTCTTTGTGAAATAGATCACTCATCGAATTTACAAAAACAACTTTGCTGTGTTTCCAGGTGTATGGGATACTAAGTTGATTTTCATGTGTCCTTATTTTAAAACCTTCAGAGTATTTTTCAACTCCCATTGCTTTAAGTCTCCTTGACATAATTTCAGCATAGCAGAATTTACACCCGGCTGAAACCTTTGTGCAACCAGTCGTTGGGTTCCACGTCATTTCTGTCCACTCAATACTAGATTGTGCCATATTAAAACATTGATGTTTGTGAGTTAAGTCTCTTTTGAACTTCCTTGAAAAATTTTTCTCCGGTTGGGTGTTTAGAATAAAAAGATAGGTAGTACAAAGGAAGGTTTTTTTCGTTAGACCTGATTTGGTGCATATGCTTAACTTTTTGGTAACCCAATTTACCCATTTGTTCTTGATATTGTTCAGCTAAGAATTTTACAAAATCTTTACGATAAATCATTCCGTCTTTTTCAAATAATTCTCTCCAATTACTTATGCCCAAATATTCAGCGATTTTAGTGTTTTCATCATTTAAGTATGTGTCAAAATTTCTGTTAGCATCCATGTGTAATGCTTGAAGAATTAAGAAATCCATTAAAGTCTGACCAAGAGCCTTAATCGTCGCAAAATTTAAATTAAGGGAGTAAGGGTCAACAAAACAAAAAGGTAACCTTGTGTTACCTTTTCCAAACTGTGGCAATGCTTTTATAACTCTGTCAACATTTTTGTTACTGTCACCTTTTATGAGTTCAAAATTTAAATGACTGAAATCCCTTTTTACTCTTGCCGATAAAGCTTCAAATCGTTCCTCGTCTTGTTCACATAATATATACTTAGAAAACGGAGTAGGAATTGACATTGCAAGTAATGCGGAATTCAAATAGGTTTTGTTACTCTCTTTGATTTTAGCATAGCCCGCCCCTGCGAATAAGTCTACATACACTAGTTGGTTCCATTTATATTTCATTCCGTTTGTAAAAATATCACAGTAGCTACCAACAAGTTTATACTTTTCTAACGACCACTCCCTGACTGTTGGTGTGAATAATCCATCGGGTTTTGTCTCAATCTGTGAATTAAATTTTTCCATTAAGGTGTTTGTTTAAATTATCGAAGTGGCCAAATGGTATTGCAGCCAACGGTTTAGGGCCTTGTGTTGTGGTGGGAATCAGGGAACGTCAGCCCACCATAACACAAAACCCAAGTAAGCGGCAGCCTTTATTGTCGTAATAGCTGTGTCCTATTGAGAATTCCAAAACGTTGTGCTTGATAAATGTATGAGAAATGTGATTCTCTCAATTTTGCTCTCTCTTTATTTTTTAGTTCAATATAGTTACCTGTCAATTCAATTGCTCCAATTGTCGCTAATCCAATGCTTGCAAGGCTGACTGGCAAATGAACTAAGTCAAACTTGCTATTTAGTAAAGCACCCGCAGTCGCAAACATTGTAGGCGATTTGAGATTTATTAGCGCTTTGAATGATTTAAATCCGCTTTCAATTTTTGAGTCGCTCAAAACAGCTTTTAAGTCCTCAACGCCTGCAACAAGTCCTTCCTGAAATGTTAATGCTGCCTCTTTTAATTCAGCTTGAGACTTTGTCTTAGAAACCTTTACTTGAAAGTCTGATAAATATTTTTTAAAATGCAGTAGATTTTGTTCTCTTTTTCTTTTAAAGTCTAAAATCTTTTCAAGCGGAACATTTGCTTTTGGGGATGGTAAGACTTTATCTAAGTTGAAAGACACAACAGGGAAGCCATCCTTTTCTTTTACTCGCTTGAAATTAAATTTTTCATAGGTTGATAAATCTGTACCAATAATTGTTTGTTCACTGTCAACGTCAGCAAGATATTTTGCAAGCAATGACATATAAAGTAATGCAGTGTGTTTTTCAAAGGTTACCCATTCGTACCGTTTATTATCCCTCTTAGCCAACCCTTGTTCTTCCAAAAAATTAAAGATGCCATCTGTCATTTTGTTATTATGAATTCTTGCTACATCTTCTCGTCCGATTTTGTCTATATGAATTCTATATTGTGACTTTTGTTGTCGTTGAATAAATTGTTGAAATGCTGGTGATGCGACAGTCTCTGTAAACTCATTCCTAAATTGATGAAAGGCTTCCCAATTGTCATCCTTGTAAATTAAATCTTCGGGCTTTATTGGACGAAACTGTCCTTCCGCAATCAGATAATGGATATCGGGTGATAGTTCACTAAGAATTCTATTATCATAACTTTTTGGCACAATAGAACTCACTTCGTCCCAGTAAAGTATGGCGTGCCGCAGCCAACTGTTACTTGGAATATCAATTGTCGGATAGTAAAGTATTGTTCTATTCATAGTTCGATTTTTTGTCGGGTCGGTGTCGCTAAGGTTGCCACCAACTAAATAATATATGCCAGCCCCAAACACTTCCAAACATTTGCAACCGTTTACGCAACCAAGCGCTTAAGAGTTTCTAAACGTTTATTCAGGCTGATATGGAGCAGCACTTCTTAAAAATACCCCTTACCCTGTAAACGCCCAATTATTTTTACGGCAGGTGCTGGCGCGGGCAAATTCAACATTTAAAAGTCAAAACATTTGTCTCCCCTGCTGTAAATCATGGTTTCGGGCCTCTGGCCTGCGGCAATGATTGTCAAAAGCGCCAAGAAGACGACCAACATTTCGGGGAAGAAGTGAAAGAATTGCTGACTTTGCGTAAACAATTGTTTTTCGCAAGTCTTTCTGTTTCAATAAACTCACATGACTATGCGCGGTAAAATAAAATAAGTTTATAAAATTTTTGGTAGTTCGAAAAAAAGTGTTAAACTTTGTATTGATAATTACAGGTCAGCTGTAATAGCGTTCCTCCCGGACGCACGTGATTCGGGTTCTTCTTCTAAACATGCTGACCGCCGGTGCTACCGGTTTTGTAGATGGACTTTATACAATAAATTTCCAACAGGATACTTTATCTTCTTCAGTCTTCAAAATTGCTGGTCGGTGAGACACCGACCAGGGTGAAGCGAAAGATTTCTCCGCACGGAACATGCTTATTACAGCAACGCAACTGGTAGATGAACCAGTAAGTCAGGTTTTACACAACGGCAGTCACCACTAAGACAGGGCCCCCTGTAGCTGGCCACTACACGATTCTCCTTTGTTCAGTTATCAACCATGCCGATAGCATACGGCAGAAACAATTATTAAAAACAATTTAAAAAACAAAATGGCTGATGCCCCAAAACTCATTTAAAGAACGGATCCATAAAACTAAAAAC